TTTCTCGCAGAGTGAGCATCGCGCTCTCTCCCTTAATTCACACGATGCTTCTCCTCCCACCACCTCGTCAAGTAACAAAACAATAGAATACAGATGTATCACACTAACAGGATCAACTCATGTAAACATTCCGGAAACAGGAGAAACTACGTGATGTCAATCTACTTTTGCTAATCAAACAGAATTGGATGACTATTTCGTTACAACTTACCACCATACTTCAAAAGGTCTCACCGATTTGGCCGTTACCCTCGATGTCGATGTGAAATTGTCTCGGCAAGTATTTGACTATACGAAATATAATAACACAATAAAAATCGAATATCATGTAAAAATGATACATGTAATACTCCTCGTTGATGTGAACGGTTATTGAGTTCTATATACTGACCATATTTTAGAGTCCTTCAGGTTGCCACGAGCATTGCGATCTACCATAACAAAGTATAAGACAAGAAAGAAATGGGGCAAGGGCACATTATCTCACGTATACTGACATTAATACAGTGCATCCACCGGCAGAATGCACGTGTGATAAAGAAGAGAAGCATATCACATGGCGTTTCATCGAATCGATCCACAAACTTCGTGTGATTTGATCCCAAAGACCATGCAATACCTAGAAAGCCTCCTAAGGAGCTACTCGATCAAAGGTATCTGAACAACGTCACTGATGTCCATGTTTACTTAGGGAGCTGTTACCAGAGTACCCTAGGCCAGGGGTCGGTGTACGATGGCACAGCACCGTACAACTTAGGGTCGCTATACCTGTCTCATCATTAACCTCGACTCTTAAAAAGGCAATAGGAAAATACATTTTAGCATCCATCATAAAGCAATCCTGAAGTCATCCGTCCTAATCCCAATCCGCGTACCGCTACAGACCCATCATAAAATCCCAAGAAGTACCGTTTCCCTTGCCATCCCTACTGCCACCTTTTTTCCTCCACTCTTTCCTTCCACCCTTGTTAATTTTCAGAACTCCTAACCCAATCAAAACTCCAAAATTCCCTCTTTTTTACATAGTACCTTCCTCCTTTTCCCATCATCCCACCACAGACAGCTCTCAATAAGTTTTTCTTCTTAGAAACACACCGAAACACAAACAGATCGAATTAAACATCAGAACAAGCAAAACATCAAATCAAGTCAAATCACCGACATACACATTTGTAGCAGTTAGAATTAAGAGTTAGTTTAAATAAACTAAGTGTTAAGTTTAAACACCAGCAATCTTTTAACACCATACAAACTCGTCCTCACGACATTAAGTTGCCGTCGAGCACAGCGATCGAGTAGGAGCTCAAGCTATATTTTCATTTACCATCATCCGAGTTCGCGATCGTACAGTCGGCAACCTTTTGAGTCGGAAGAGTCAAAAATTACAATTTACAAAATTTCAAAGTTTTTAAAGAGCCACAAAATTTTTTCTTGCCAACAATAAATAGTACTCGCATATATAAAGTTTTTTGATAAAAAAAAACTAATCTATTTATTCATAAGAAAAAATATCTATTTGTTCATATATATAAGTAGTGTTTTTCACAACAAATTAGATAATATATATATGGCATTATTAGATAATTACTTATTATTTAAGTAAAAAATTAAAACAATTAAACATTTACTTACAACACTAACAGTTGACGACAGCGACGACGCGTGTCACGGGGGAGGGATGCTGTGAAAAGCAAGTACAAGTGATTGAAAGATAGAATCGGTGCCTAATCCTCGTTAATGGATTCAGAACGATTTTTAAATGTTTTTGTTTTTTGATAAAATAAATAATACTTGCGTATGGAACTAAAGTGCTGCAGCTTCACATCCAAAGAGCCGCATGTGGCTCGCAAGCCGCAGGTTGCCGACCCCTGCCCTAGGCGGTCACTCAACAAACGTTGCGGGTACTGTCCCGTTAATGTGTGTTGTACAGAAAAACATCAGGACTTATTGTTAGCATCGGATATACAAGTATAATCGAGAACAATTGACAGCAACAAATACGATCTGGAATGATCTTTTATTCGAGGTGTCGAACCATTCTCTATACATCCTGGAGACTGTTAGGCCTAGTATCTAAAACGTTCCTGAGTACAAACAACACGATACTTAAAATTATTTTTGTGGGGCAACTCAATCCTTGATATATGGGCAACGGATGCTGCTAACGGAAATGATGTGTTGCAGAGGTTTGCACAAGTGACCTCGACAATGACCTTATCGAACGTTTTGTGAGTAGTCCTGATAAGCTATTCTAGGGGTTGGCGGTGCGCTATCAATTATGTGCGCATAGGCGTTTAGACCAGGGAGCATATCTGCTTATAGTTTCAGCTAGCCAAATGTATAGTAATTATCTTCTTAGGGCCTTCATAGGGCTGGATAGATTTGTAGATCAGAATTCGTTACGTACAGCAAAAGAGAGCAATTTGTACAAGATTCGTCGCACACAAAGTGATCAATCTGCCGCGATGGAGATGAATGACGGACAAACTGAAACATCTAACGACAATCTTATTTAGCTTTTTCGCTACGAGACGTTAATTGTAGTGGCCTAACCCGCCTCCCCACATCGTGTCGTCACAATATTGGCGGTTAAAGTAACGAATCGCCAACATGGTCTCTTTCGTATCGGAGCATGAAGGCTGTTGTATGTGCTCGTAATTTGCATGATTGCACCGTGAGACAATGTTGGAAATCTAACTATTTCTGCAACAAATACAATATCCTGACGAAAAGTCAGCAAACACTGAACGTGAGAGTTACTATTTACTTACCACGAGGTTCTTCTGTAATTAGTTATTTGTGCTTCGTTTATAAGTATCACCTGCAGTCTTCGTGGTGACAACTCTCACAATTCCATCATCATCTGGATGTATAATACGTCCCAATGTCCATTTGCTGCGTATATTCAGTTGATTAATACAGTAAGACTCCGCTTAACGCTATTTCGATATTACGCGGTTGTATTTGGATTTCTCGAAATGGTACACGATATTGATACTTGTATATGCGTGCAAAAGAAGCCGGCATGCAACAACTATAAGCGGTGCATTATGCAGCGACGATGCACATGATTTTTGTTTCACTACACTCTTTTGTTACTCTGTCCAAAATAAAGGTTCCAACGACTATTCCTCGTTTAACGCTGCGACTATTCCTCGTTTTGTATTTGGATTTCTCGAAATGGTACACGATATTGATACTTGTATATGCGTGCAAAAGAAGCCGGCATGCAACAACTATAAGCGGTGCATTATGCAGCGACGATGCACATGATTTTTGTTTCACTACACTCTTTTGTTACTCTGTCCAAAATAAAGGTTCCAACGACTATTCCTCGTTTAACGCTGTTTCGTTTAGCGCTGGAACTTATTGAAACGTATCCCCCGTGTCAAGCGAGGTCTTACTGTATATTCTTTGTGCCAGCGAGTCCAAAAATATTGCTTGACTTTTTAATTCAAACAGACAATCTGTTGCTAGGAACTTGCTGAAAGTCAATCTCTGACACGGTCATTAGTGAATCATTAAAATATGTTCAGGAGTAAGAGCGATAGTATCATTAGGGTCAGAGGAAAACAAAGTTACAGGACGTGAATTTAATATCGCTTCAATTTCAATTATATATGTATTTAATTTTTCATGCATAAACAATTGATTGCCGACTGTTCGAATCAAATGGTGTTTAAAGACTTGACTAACGCCTCCTATAGACCTTCAAAACGTGATGATTGTGGAGGGGAAAAGTGTCAAGAAATGCCTTCAGACTCTAAATGACTCATAATTTTTTCATTATCATTTGTTAAACTTAAAAATTTTTGAATTTCGCGCAATTCATTTTTTGCTCTGGCGAAATTTGTTTCATTATTAGAATAAATATATTGAGATTTACTTCGACGTGCAAAAAATCATTTCGAACTTGCTATAAACGCTTCTACTGTTAAATCACAAACAAGTTCTAACAATGAGTAAATTACAGGGGAGTACGGGAGGATACTCCTGGTAGCCCGTTATGGAGCTACTCGTAGTTCGTTATGGAGAATTCGGAAAAAATACCTGGACGCCATTCGAACGAGACAAAACAGAGTTACTCCTGAACGCCTGATTAATTAGAGCTATAGACGAAAATTTAAAGTAGTCGTGATGTTGCGTTGTGTAAAGAAAGAAAGAAAAGAAAAAATTATTCTGTTTCTTTTATAATTTCCTTAACCTCGCAATAAATCGCTATTTTCCAGAATACTTTATTTCCTGCGAATTCTGTCAATCCATCCTTGTATCAATCAATAATGGTTACAACATGTTTTTACTGTTAGTTTACCTTCATTTTTAACAAGCATTTGGAGTAGTTCGATTAAGGTATCATATTCTATAAAGATAAATTAAATTATGGGAACAAGGGGGGGG